AAATATGTGTTGGTGATAGGGTGAATGTGTGGCAAAAGAGAATTTTTTATTTAAAAATTGTTTTTCCCAGTGGGTGTTATAGCACAAACATTTAATCACAGCACTCAGAATGCTGGGCCAGGCACATCTCTGATTCAAGGCCAGCCTGGTTTTTATATGAGTTCTAAGACAGAATTACACAGAGAAAATCTGCCTTAAAAACAAACAAAAGAAAAAATTATTATCCAATCACAGTTCATGCCTGACACAGTAAAAGACAGTGTCTGGGACCATCTGAGAGGTGTCTGAGAAACAGGATTCCAGGGCCCTAACTTGAAAGTTCAGAACTCTCACCAACATGTCACCCACTGAAGCTACCAGAGAACACCATGATGCCTGCTCTCCTGGTAAAAGGAAGCTTATCTTTTGGGATGGACAGTATCTCAAGGTTTTAGAAAGGTTTTATGGGTAGACTAAGCCACTTATGCTGATGGCTTCTCAGCTTAGAAGAATCCTGGAAAGAAAAGCTCATGATGGATAGTGAATGATTTCCTCCATCCAATAGCCTGGTGAACTGACCTTCTACCCTTACTTGCCTGTTGGGCCCCTGTGCTTTAGAACTGGAGTCCCATTACTTAAGATGTAATCATGCACCAATATCAACCATGGAAGCCAGAAGCCAGGCTTTACCCTTTGAATAGATCCAGTCTCTTGAGGCAATATTCCACCCTGTTATTCCAAACTCTTCGTTCCCAGCAGGACTCATCCATACACTCAAGATTAAGGAGCACAGATCACATGGTGCTTCTTCAGTTGACAAGAAGCAGAGGCAGAAGAAAATTTCCAGGAAGTCATAAGAAGCTTGAAGCCTCTTATCTGACCACAGCATGCAAAGCTGACCAACAGAGCATATTTGTCCTCACCGCAGTATTGATTGTGTTGATATGGAGTTTCTCTGTAGCCCTAGCTGTCCTGGAATGCACTTTGTAGACTAGGCTGGCTTTGAATTCAACTTAAACATGTTTTTATTTTCATACCAGACTTCAAATGTCCTCTGTCCAATTACCATGGACTTGGAGGAAAACAGAATCTTGGAAATTGTTCAGACTTCAGTTTTTCAGCCACAGCATTTACGATGACTACAACTAGATTGCATCTTGAACATAGCATATTTTATTCCAAATAATCAAATTTGAATATTGAACTAAAATTTTTGATGACTTTTATTGGTTTTTAAATCTGAGTGTCAGTGCTTCTTCTTATGTTCTGTGCAACATGTCCAATGACTATTAGTAATATTACAGCAATCCCAATGTGTCAATCAAAATAATTTTGTTGCTATTAATCCAGTGT